AATATTGTTGATGAAAATGCACTTTTGGCATATTTCTTTGAGCGTTCCCAACATTTGAAGAGTCCAGCAAGTTTGTGGAGTGAATACTCTATGCTCAAGACAACATTATCCATTAATGACAGTATAGATATTTCTAAATTTCCAAAATTGAGAGCTTTTTTGAAAAGGAGAAACGATGGTTATAATCCCAAAAAATCAAATGTGTTTTCAAGGCAGGAAATAAAGACATTTTTGAAGGAGGCACCAGACAGTCAATATTTGTTGATGAAGGTATGAATATGGCTTTAGAACTATTCCATAAAACAGTGGTCTTTATTTTGTAGGTAGTTGCACTCATTGGCGTTGCTGGAGCATGCCGTAAAGACGAATTGCTCAAGATGACATTAAGGCCCAGTTGTACAATCTTGGTTCAAATCAGAGCTCAGCTAAACTCGACTGGTACTTGAACTTCCCCATTTAAAATACATTGCTGTCAGCTATTAATCAAATTCTGTCAATTTTGACAGCAATGCATTTCAAATGGGGAAGTTCAAGTACCAGTCGAGTTTAGCTGAACCCTGATTTGAACCAAGATTGAACAACTGGGCCTTAGTGACATTGAAGATAAGAGGGATGTGATAATAATAAAAATTCCAGATAGCAAGAATAAAACCAGACGTTCGTTTACAATTATCAATGATACTGAAATAGTATATTATATACCTAGGTAGAGAAGTTGGTCATTATATACCGAAAGCTTTTATAAACCGAGGCGCGCAGCGCCGAGGTTTATAATGCTTGAGGTATATAATGACTTTCTCTACCGAGGAATATATAGAATTTTTTTTACTACTGCTAGTAGAAAATAAAAAAATTGTTTAAAATCTGTGCTCTAATTATTTTTTGTGAACGCCCTCTTGAAAGTGCTGCCCTCTATCAACAGCTTATATACTTTCCTATGTACCTACAGAAACCTGTATTTTTTTTCAAATTGACGTATGAAATTGAAATTGAACCAATAGAAACATGACAATATCCTTGTGTCATGACGTCATTTTCATTATTGACCTAGGTATTTTTTCATTATTTTCATTATTAACCTAGGGAGAGAAATTCAATTTTTTCTAAGAAAAATAGATTGAATAATGTCTATTTCTTAGGTTAGTAGTAAAAAAATAATATTGATTGCCTTGGTATATTCAGAAAATATGTTAACTTAAGGCCCAAGAACACTGATCATAGACGACTCTTTTTGAGGTATGAGGTAGGGAAATGTGTCAATCAAGTTGCTGGTAAAAATACCCTTGGAAAAGTACCTTATAATATTGCCAAGTACTTGAATTTGGACAATCCTGAGTCTTACACGGGACACTCATTTCGAAGAACTTCGGCAACACTTTTGGCAGATACGGGTGCGGATGTTCTCGCTTTAAAAAGGCACGGAGGGTGGCGATCTTCCACAGTCGCGGAAAGTTATGTGGCCGACTCAAGTGCAAATAAAGTAGATACGGCCAGAAGAATTCTAGGTAGCAGCGAGAATATAAGATTTGAATCCGCAACTCCCAGCACAAGTTCCTCTATGATAGTCGAGGATTCCTTTAGTAGTAAGGATTCTAATATTTTAAGTTCTTCGACTTCAATACAGGAAAGTATGCCTATGTTAAATGTAACTAATTGTACAAATGTTTCTTTTACTTTCAAAATTAAAAAGTAAATAACCATGAAGTATCGCATTTTTATATTACTAGGTAGGTACCTATCTGTTTATGCTAATTTCAACTTTTGGACGTCTAATGGCCATTTGCACTGACCATTTTAAGGAACCCTTAGCGATAAGTAGGTATCTTTTAAAATGACAGTTTTTGATGGGAAAATGTCACTTTAAGGAATACTTATCGCTTAGGCTACCTTAAAATAGTGGGTCCAAATGGTCATAGGTATTTTCTATTTGTTTCAATAAAATAGTATCCTTAATTTGTTTTGGGTTTTTTATTTAAGAAGTCGAGTGTTTTTTTCACATTATTTTGACAGAGATATGAAAGCAATTTTCACTTTTCATATCAACACTTTTTTGACCGGGTCAAAAAAGTAACTTTTTTGGCTTTTTTGACCCGGACTGTAAGTGACACTTACAGTTCATGGACGTAGGTCAAAAAAGTCAACTTACAGAATGGGTAGCACAAAAAAAACTATAAAACATTTTCTAAAGTTTATTCGTGAAATATTTCGTAAGTTTTTCTTGTCGTGTAAAACAGGAAAAGTTGACTTACGAAATATTTCGGCAACAATTTCGTAAGTAATTTCGTGAAGAAACTTTGCCGTGTAAAACGGCTCTTAAATAAGAAAGGATGTAGTTTAGTTAGACCACCAAGTGTTGCTGCAGATGAGAAAATGTCCAGAGAAGATGTAATTTTGACAAAACGTATTACGTAGTGTTATAATTCATATTGAACGCGTAATCAGGCGCATCAGGGATTTCAAGTTGTTAGGTCCTCACGCGGTCATTGGAGCAGAAATCATTCAAAATCTTGACAGCGCAATAACTATTGCGTGCGCTATAATAAACCTACAATAACCCATAATAAATCGAAGAATTTTGTAAAATTACAAATGAAACGTAGGTACTAATATGTTATTTATCATTAACAGGTATATTAAAATGTAAATAACAGAAAAAAATTTCATTTGGAACACTAACAGCTGTATGCAACATCCTCTTTTAACTTTAAAGTGCTTTTTGAAACTGGAAGGTAGGTACCTTCAAAAATTTGTATTGTTTTATTGTATAGAATACACATTTTTAAAAGTGACCAGATTTAAAAAGCGCTTTTAAGGTAAAAGAGGATGTTGCTTACAGCTGTAAGATTTTTGGGACACCTCGTATTTATCAGTAGCTATGTAGTAGACTATCAAATATAGGGTGATCCAATTAGTGCTTTAGTATTTTAAAATGAAATAAAACACAAACATTGCTGCGTTGCCAAAATGTTTTCATGTCATTCGAAAGACCAACTAATTACAATTATGTTTTCAAAATAATATCGGCGAAATGACCTTCACGACTTCATTTACAATAGCGAATTCGATCAGTCCAATTTATCATTACGGTTTCACACATTTGGGCCAGTATCTCAGGGCTGCGTTCAAAAACGGCTAAAGCCAAGCCAAAATTGGCATATTGCGTTCAAGTTCGGCTCCAGCGTGCCAAAAATGGTTTGGCTTTACACGTTCAGAATCGGCCGCGGTAAAGTAACTTTTGGAGGTGCTTTTGACTGAGTCTAGAAATGGTTATACGAATTTTGATTGGATGAGACCAAATTCAATATGGCGTGGCGGCCAGCAAGTTAGTTTTGAATATGTGTTTTCATGCATATTTCAATTATTTTGCTTCGAGTTTTGCTTGCAGCTTTGATTTTGATTATTCAATAAAATATTTGTAGGTACGTAAACTATTGAGTTGGGCAGAAACTAGATATTTTTTTGTGTGTTTTCGTCCATGTGTGGACGCCACGCCATCTTGAATGTCACGTGGTTTGGATTGCCTAATTGAGAAACGGTATTTGGCGTTCCAGCAAATTCACACCAGATTTGGCATCGCCGGTAGAAGGGGAAAAGTAGGTTTTGGCATTAGCATTGACGTCTTTGAACGCACTCCAGGAATAGCCGCTCTTGCAATAACTTCATGGTTTTGTTGGCGGTATGACACTTAGCGCTATCCTGTTGGAATCAAAACCCCTCCAGTTGGTTTTCGATGATTATGGGGAAGAAATAATCGTTGCTGAAAACCATGAACGTTGCTGTGGTATTGAAATGTTCCACTTTGTTTTGTAATAAACCAATCTAAAAAACTACCAAATAATTTTTTTTTGGCATGTACAGGGTGGTCCAAATTGGACACTTTCTTATGGAAACACCCTTTATTTTTAGAGATAGAAAAAAATGGACCCCCCACTCTGAGGCTCAAATTTCTTGAAATTTTGATTGGTGCAAACCTCATTTTGATATCTTCAACCGTCTAGGCGCTAGAGGGCGATTCTCGACTGAGCAATACTGTAAAGCCTCCATAACTTTTTTGTTTATGGAAATAATTTATTTCCGTAAAGACCTTTTGGAAGCACTTTTTCAAGCAGAATTCAGTGACGTTCTCAGTTTTTTTCTGTCTGGCTTCGATTTCGAGATATTGACCAAAATCCGATTTTTTTCAATAGGACACTCAATATATTAATAGTTCATTAGAAAGCTATGCTTTCGCTGATTTTAATGATACAAGGTTTGATACGTTTATCTCTAACAGTTTTCGAAAAAAAAAAAATATTTCGGTTTTTGTCATAAGAAACAATGTGTAAGAAAGAGACCTTTCTCAGTTTCCTTACAGAGATAAAGTCCTTTTCCAACACATTGTTTCTTATGACAAAAACCGAAATAATTTTTTTTCTCGAAAACTGTTAGAGATAAACCTATCAAATCTTGTATCATTAAAATCAGCGAAAGCATAGCTGTCTAATGAACTTTTAATATATAGAGTGTCCTATTGAAAAAAATCGGATTTTGGTCAATATCTCGAAATCGAAGCCAGACAGAAAAAAACTGAGAATGTCACTGAATTCTGCTTGAAAAAGTGCTTCCAAAAGGTCTTCACGGAAATGAATAATTATTTTCATAAACAAGAAAGTTATGGAGGCTTTACAGTATTGCTCAAAATCGAGAATCTCCCTCTAGCGGCTAAACGGTTGAAGATATCAAAATGCGGTTTGCACCAATCAAGATTTCATGAAATCTGAGCCTCAGAGCGGGGGGTCCATTTTTTTCTATCTCTAAAAATAAAGGGTGTTTCCATAAGAAAGTGTCCAATTTGGCCCACCCTGTACAGTGTTGCCTATATTTAAATTTAAAATCCTAAAGCAGTAGTTGGATCACCCTACTTAAATTAGGATTAGGATAATTTACAACTATGGTATAGCTTAGGAAACACGTTGTTCTTCCAAAACTGCACAGCACAATCCATGAGGTGTTCAGTAAACTCAGAATCATAATCAACAAGAACTTTTTTAATTTTTTTTGAATTTTCGAAATCAGGATGTGCTATGCAGAATACACCTTTCCTACGATTTGTGGCATGCATTTGTAAACTAATCTGTGCCAAGTATTTTTTACGTATTTCCCCGTTTGGCGTAATATAATTCGAAACTGTTTTTTCCGACATAGGGCATTTTATTTCGACTACTGCGTCATCTGTGATACCATCTGGAGAAGCTCCCAAAATAGCAGCATTTTTTAAAATAGTGAAGCCGCAGTTTCGAATTTTGGTCTCCAAAACTCTTTCCAACTCTTTCAAAACCAACTTTTCCAAATGTAGTCCTCTTTTCATAGCTTCAGAAGTAAATTTTTTTGAGACACCCATGACTTGGTTAACTAAACTACCCGAAACAGTTTTACAAACACTCGCATCATATAATTTTGATGCAGTGATGCGTCCATAACGAAGTTCGTACCAAAGGGAATTTTCACTTTGGCTTTCAGTTAAAGAAGACGAATCTGCAATGTTGTCTTGAGATAAAATATTTGAACAAAATGATATGAAATTGTCTGGACCATGATCGTCAGCCTCTGAATAAATTTCGTCATTAAATTATGAATCGAAAGATTTCTTGCACCGATTGACAAATTATTGTGGTTCAAAAGTGGACAAACGTAGTTATGCCTTTTTGTCATTGCAACTGTTTCTTCCAAAAATCCGGCAGTGGGTAGAATACAGACTTTAGGTTTTTTGAGTGGCTTTCCAATAGACTTCGCTTTTATAAACTTGATATTGGTACCAACTTGAGCCAATACTGCCTTCTTCCAATAACAAGACACGGCAGTAGGAGCTGGTTCTTCTGATCGCCTATGCAACCACATCAGAAACGCAACTGAGTGTTTGCACCCTCCAGTAGACGCAGCGCAATCCTTGCAATCAACTTTTTCGACGACTCTGTCTTTTTCATTAACAAGACATTTAACTGTGTACGATTTCGAGCGTACTTTATGTTCCGGGCAAATGCGACCCTGCACAGTACACATATCCTCGTTCCTCTTGACTTGCACATAACCAACTGCAGAGTCTCCGTAATCTTCTCTTCCAGATCTAAAACAAATAATTGTTATTATAGGTAGTCATTCTAAGCCCAGTACGACATTACTTTAATAATATTAATTTTCACACTGGTTGGGAAAATAACTATTCTCGGAGAAACATGAAAAAATGAAAATGGGTAGTATCATTGGTTATAAACCAAAAAAAAAATACTTACCGAACTACTTTAACGCCGCTGCTCTGAAGTTCATTTAAATTTGCGTTATTCGCCAAAAACTCGTACACCATTTCTACATTCACATGGGGTAAGTTACGTGAATCAGCTTTCTGATAACCTTCCTGCATTGTGGTACAAATAAATGAAATACACAAACGTAGGTTGATTCCAGTTTACGTGAATTCGTATTTTGATACAAAACAACACTGTCTCTTTGGCATTTTAATTAGCGTTGGTGGCTACTGACGTCACACGGCCTAGTCTCGCGTAGAGGGTCGTTTTCTAACCCCGCGCCGATCGTTAATTTTAAACTGTTTGCAACAAACGTAAATATTACTATTTTGCGTTCAAATTTTTTTAATCGTTTTTTAATATCTAAATCTCTCGATTAGAGTTAAAATTTAAAAAAAAAAAAAAAAAAAGTCGAACCTTCCTATTGTTCATGACCATGTCAAGATTTCGAAATTCTCCAGAGCCAAAAATAAAATTTTATTTTTATTTTTGTTTCTGCTTAAAATGGCCATTTAGAATTGATGTCAGGGTTGTTTTTCACTAATTTTGACTCGCTTTATCGATTAATAAAGTCAAAATTGAGCAAAACTGAAAAATAAAAAATTTAGGTTTTCATAATTCCCTTTGAATTCTGATTTCAAAATATTCGAACCTTAATTGCTCGGTAACGGTTGAGCAATTTGCATTGAAATTTCCAGAATTTGTAGCTTTTATCAAGTTCTAAATGGCTTGTAATTTACAATATTTCCAGATTCATAGTTTTTGTGCAAATTAAGTTTGAAGTTTTTGACAAAATTTGGACTAAAAGTCAACTTTGAGGCTCAATTGCTCAGAAACTATTTGAGCTATCAAACTCAATTTTACACAGATTTATAGAGAATTTAATGCTCTTTCCAATGGTGTATAATTAAATTCAATTTGCTCAAAATTTACCAAAAATATGGGCAATTGTTCATGGCCATGTCAAGATTTTGAAAATTTTCCAGAGCCAAAAATAGGATTTTCTTTTTATTTTTGTTTCTGCTTAAACTGGCCATTTGGAATTGATGTCAGGGTTATTTTCCACTAATTTTGACCCGCTCTATCGATTATTCTACCATTATGAAGTGTATGACAACAGTCATAAATTAATATTCTATACGTTCATCGTTCATGCAATAATCTGAATTTTTAAATATAGTGCCCTTTTGCCCGTTCTGAATTTGTATTACCTTGGGATTTTGAATTAACATAATAAAACCTTCATTTTGTGAAAATTTCAGCTTCTAACTCCGACGCGCCCACAAAAGTCAAAATATATTATAAGGAGCACTCTACTATATGTGCCCGTGCGATAAACATTTTCAATGTTACTTAAAAACATACATACAAACATACATACATACATACAGGTGAAGCTAATATAAGCGTGTTAAAAACAATTCTCTGTAATCAGATGAAACTAATTTTTTTTGAAATGTTCTAGTAGGCTATGGCTTTAATATGCTCAAACCCAAAATTATTTCCTCCAGCTTCATTGTTAATAATAAAATAAAGGCATGGTATTGAATAACACAAGTGAATCCACTAGTAATGTTAAATTTTTGGAATGGCATATTAACGACAATTTGAAATAGTCTGACTATACACAAGTTGAAGTGTTGGCTATCTATTGACTGCTATGCAGTTAAAACTATTGCTTCACAGTTGGATGTACGGGAGATTCGTATGGTTTATTTTGCATTAACTGCACCTGTTACAATATGAATTTGCTTCCTGGGGCTTTTGTAGCCATCAAATGTTGTTTGTTTTGCAAAAGCGTACTATCCGCTACTTGTAATACTGGAGAACATTGTCGATCTCTCTTTGTAACCGTCAAATTTTGTCTTTGTTATATCTGTCTGTTTTGGAAACGAGGCGGTATCTGATACACAAATCTATAGGTTCTGCAATGTTTCGGTCCACTTATGACACAAGGGGATCAAGGAGCCCGCCTTTGCCCGTTCTTAGGTCAACTCTAGCGAAACAGTAATGCATAACAGCCGAAAGATATATAATCATATTCCTGCTGGCATTAAGAACACTCAAAACGATATTCAATTGTTTGAAAAAAAAAACTAAAGGAGAGTTGCTTTTATCTAGTGCATTTTATACATTGCCGGAATACTATGAAGCGTCGTTTGAGCTGGTTGAGGAGAAAACATAATGTATTGTATGCGTGTCTTTCGTTTTGCTTTTTTTTATAATTTTTTATTTTTATTTTGTGTCCCATCACTACTCGTGTATTGTATTGTTATTGACAATCATCTGTGATGATTTTGACTTCTTTCGGTTGCGGTTGTGAGACACTTATTTTAGTGTTAAATGGGTTTCCTAGTATTTTTCTTATATTTTCTTTATGTGTTTACTTCAAATATTCTACTATTTTAAGGACCTGGTTATACAGGGTTGTCGTTATGTATGAGAACGGCCTAATATTTCAGAACGCCCTTAAGAAAAATGTAAAATTTCTTCCAACCCAAATATTCTGTAGGTACTTCTAATTATAAAGGTAATTTCAATTTAACCAAATGGGTTTCAAATTTGATTTCAATTAGGCTCCCTAAAAAACTGAAATATGGAATTTTAATGTTATAGGTTGTGGTAGGACAAGTAATATTCGACCCTAATGCATAAAGTTCAAACAACTTTCCGTAAAACGCTACTTGTATTAGTGTTTGCTTCAAATTACAAGCCTTATAAAGCTCATACAACGTTATTGTGTTGGATTTTTTAATGTTTCCTTTTATGACGAATAACTCTCCAGGTCTGTCCTTTCTTGCAAAGAATACCAGTATGGGGCGATTGCGGGACGCAAATGATATTTCGCTGAAAAGTTTGCAGAAAAAGTAAATTGATCTAGAGGAAGCTGCATTCTCTATAAAACTGATACTCGCTACGCTGAACAAAAGAACATTTCTAGGGAAATATTACGAATAACTAAAAAGGAAAAGTTTTAATAGCATTTTTTGCTTTAATATACTTTTTGCTCTAGTTTATTTTTGCTGTGCCTTTGAAAAGAAAAATTTTCGGAAAAAAAACGGAATATAGCGTTGCATAGAGAAATATATATTTTTAATTAAAATTTTTATTTCTTTCTATTTTAGTTCTCCGAGCAAAATAATCAAAGCCTGAGTATACTTAACTTTGTACCTGTGATCGATGATGATGGAAAATATTTAACGTGCCGAGCCGAAAATCCAACAATACCCGATAGCGCGTTGGAAGATAAATGGAGGCTGAATGTTCACTGTAAGTACAATTGGAAATAAATCGAACCGTTCAGTGAGTTGATAAAATACAATTTTTGTTACACGGTATATTCAAATGAGTGATGCAACACACCAATTTCAGATTTAATTCAAACATCGCAACAATTTTGAATAAGTACTTTAAAACCATATTAACATTGTGTATACACGACAATTCGATAACTCACTTGTTCGGAACTTTTTATAAATCCATTTGAATCAAACTTTGAGGTGTAAAAAACTGAGGTCACCCATTTATTTTATGAAATATAACTCTTGTCTCGTGAACTTTTGTCTGGAAACTTTTGCAAATTACAAACTTATTTCTTAACCCATAAAGAAGTTGTGGAAAAAAAAATAAAGTGAACAAAACTTTATAAAAAGTGAAAAAACCAAAAACCTCGTAGAGATTAAAGTAATTTGTCAGCTTTTCTTAAATTTAGGATAGGTAGGTAGTATAAAAATGAGTTTTGATTATTATATCTCAAAGAATTTTTTTGTGTGTCTTTAGGGTAACCATTCATATGTAGATACTTTGAACTGATGCTTTTCATTTTTTGTTTAATCTACGTCGGTGTCATTATGACACATTTAGCATTGTCATTTGAATGTCATTAAGTCCTTCATAATAGCACTATAGTGCGATTATGAGAATTCATAATAACACCCAAATTATAAAATAAAAAATATACAAAAAGAAAGTTAGTTATGAAGAGCCTTTTCATTGATGCTTTCTCGATATCCGAAGGGGCATTTTCGGACTCAGAATCACCCATATTAATAATTATTTTCCACTATAAAACTGAATTTGTGGACACAAAAATGGACTCCAATATTGAAGCTGCCAATGTTAAAATTCCAAAAATTAACAAGCGCGTTCGCCGAATAGTATGGTCACCTGCTAAATTTTGAATTTTAATTTGAAAAGTTTTTGCTATTTCAAAGCAAAAAAAAATCTATTTGGACCATCGTAGATTAAATTTTGAATGACACACGTTCGATATGAACTTTTGTAATGAAACTTGTGTAACTAAATCATAACGTTACACGCATTTCAATATGGTGACATCGAACTATAGTATTTTCAATACCTATTTAGAAGTACCTGTCGTTTTAGTGACAAAACCATTGAGGTAGAATAATAGGAAGACGCTGTCAGTATTTGAATAGTAGAATAAAAACGGTATCGGTGGGCGTGGCTAAAGACACTAACAATATGGCTACCCACGCAGAGCCGAACTACATAGATTCTTTATAATTTTTTTCTAAAAACTTGAAAAATCTACATTATATACGCCAAGAAAGAAGAAGTTGCTACAGAAACTTCAACATACTGAAACAGAAGATCCTTCTAAGACCCAAAATAGAAATTCTGCGCTTCAAAAATGTTTCGCACTTATAACATGTTCGGATGGAAAATGCGGCCCTAATGCATTACTGTCGCGTTTCTATGACAAAAGTGACAGACTTTCAGACAGAAGAACACTCACAATATGGCGGAACTGGGTACACGTTTGTCTCGTCATTTCGCGTCCTTATTATTTTACCTCAATGGACAGAACGTATGTCGCTTCTTGACACATAAATAAAATTAGATTAGGAATTTCCTATTTGTAGATGAAATTGAAGTATTAGCAATCGACGTTCGTTTTTGTTCGTTTTTTGTTTCATCTGATTCGTGATTGATAAATAAAGATGGGGTTATTCTAAATGGGTATTACAAATACTATAGTATCAATGATAACTATAATCAGCGGACCTATAGTCTGTGACAGTCTGAATTAACCCTCCAGCCGTAGCTACCCTAACCTCAAAATCTTAAATGGCACTATGGGTCATGTGATACCTTGTTTTAAAGGTTTTAATTCTCTTAATGGATCTGCAAAAAAAAAATTATTCAGATTTGAATGTGACTCTCATTTTAATGAAAATCTTATTTGATCGGGTGGAACAGGTAAATGTGATTTAAAATCGATTTTATGCAAATTGAATTACAGCATGAATATTTTTGAAGAGATCATCATGATTTTATTTTTTTGAACCCCTTTCCCCTCACTGTACCTGACAGTGTTCACCACCTCAAAAGAGCAAAGTTGTTAACTCGAAGCATCCACCATGCACCATCTAGATAATTTTTTTTTGCAGATTCGTTTAGAGAATTAAAAAACCTTTCAAACAAGGTATCACATGGCCCGTAGTGCCATTTAAGATTTTGAGGTTAGGGTAGCTACGGCCGGAGGGGTAATTCAGGGAGACCTGAAAAGTACCTTGTTTTGGTTCCCCCTTCCAACCCTCCAAACGGGCTTTTCATTTTTTTTTTTAATCGATTACCGTTTTCAAGATATAGGCCATTGACAGTTTTCGGTGGGACACCCGGTATACAAAAAAAGCAACTTTGAAAAACGTCATGAAAAATGGTAATTAATTAAAAAGAATAAATTGCTGACAAAATCTGTTGTGTGCTTCACAACGAAAGATTTGGTAATTAAACTTTTGATGACGCTGCGTCTGGTATAGATCGTGCCTATGTTTTCTGATGACCCATTGGCGGCGCGTTGGTGTCGATGACCTAGGAGTACCTGGTAGCTAATAATTAATTAATTTTTGTAATGATTTTGATATATAGAATTTTTAATACCTTTTTAGAAGTACCAGTCGTTCTAGTGACTTAACGTATGTCGCTTCTTGAACAAACAAATAAAATTAGGTTAGGAATTTCCCATTTGTACATACATGAAATTGACGTATTAGTATTGATAAATAAGGATGGGGTTGTTCTAAATGGGTATTAAAAATACTATAAATAATAGACCGAACTCCTATTACCTGGACTACGCGCGCAACCCGTAAGGCAAGTTCAGAATTAATCGCTCCTTCTTTCTTTGTAACGTGTAATTGGACAAAGAGCAAACTAATACTTTATTACTTGAACTCACCGCAGTGTCGTTTAAGGTTATGTTAGATTATACTTGAGATTATAGTTCATTGCTTGAGATATTCCTTTGCAATTTCATTGTGCGATGTTGCCGGATGAAACATTTATCAAAATAAAAGTGCAAACGATGTTAACATACACTTTAAAGCTTTTCTTTTGTCTGATTCAAGGCGTTGTAAAACACTTGACACTATATCACTTCTTTAATGTTATAATGTTCGATTCGTATTGTCTACATTTGCTCTGCAACAATACACTCTGGCTACACGGCAGCCACGAGTTGCGCACGTAGGTTATCTTTTATTACTTTCTAACTTGTATGTATTACAATTACTTTTTCTAATTATGCGAGATAGGTCTATTTAGGGCTTTTTTATATGACTAAATTTTGAATTTAGACAGTCTGTGATCAAAATTACTGACAGTGACGCATTCCTCACAGAGTGACGTGTATTGTCCGTCGTTTTTAATCTGTCACTTTCCGTATGAGGAGCGAAGGGGTGAAGTATATGGCAAAAATAGATGTGACGTCAGGTGACCATTGGCATTCTAATGTAGGGTACCACCAGCTCACATTCCTTTGGAGTATCAGGGCCGAGTTCGTTTTTGTCATCTTTTTCGTCGATTTGCTCCGAAACTTTGGCACGTGACTGGATCAGACAGTTTCAATCTCCAAATCACGTGCCTGTCAAAATTTCGGAGCAAATCGAAGAAAAAGATGACAAAAACGAACACGGCTCAAATTAAAATCGACATACCTACTTTAAATTTGATCGATTAGCAAATCACAAAACATGCAAATAGCCTAAAAAATACCTAGCTTTTATTTACTTTGCCGCCTAGTCGTTATTGTGTGCGGCATTATATTAGTGACTGCCAGTAATTTTGATCACAGACTATAGTAAAAATAAATCGCAATCATTTTTCAGAGAGCGCGTATGTATTGTTTTTCCAGCTTAAAAAGTTCGTTGGCTACGTGATACATCAGCTCGTTTTTGGCATCAGAATCGCCGTCAGCCGTGCTGGAGCCTGGAGAGTCCTATCCGAGAAGAGAATATCGATATTATATTATATTTTTTGCCGTTATTAACTTTTTTTTTAGTGGTAACCTGAACGATTTCAAATATCTTGGCTTGAATGGAAAAGTAAATCTTTCTAGTAACAAGGAATTTCATTTCATTGATTTGTTAATTTTTTGTGATATTGATACTAAAATTATTGCACTGCCTGCTAATGTCCATTGCAGACTCTCAAAACTTCCGAAAAGTCTCATTCAAATGTTGCTTACATACAAAAAATTTCTGGAGTTGTTTGTTTTGGATGCTATCAATTTTTTATACAAGTTGCCTGAGCAAAAAAAAAAGTTACTTTAATCAGACAAGATTTTCCATTCGAGAAAACAAGTTGTTTAAAAAAATCCCCTTAATTCAAAAGAGTTACGAAAGCTCCTACGAACTTTTTTATCTTAATACAAATAATCGAGAAAAATGTGTCAAACTGTGCAAAAAACGGCATATTATTGCGATGCTCCGTTTAAAATATAGGTTCTTTTCAATATTTCAACTGTCAAAAAACTGTCATTAGGTATTATGAATTTTAACCAAACTTCTTTCAGCTAAAAATGCTAAAATACAGTATTTTTCCTGAAAATATCATGAAAATCGGTCCAGCTAAAAGCAGTTTTTTTATATATCTCAGAAACGGAAGCTCCTAGGAACTTTTTTGTATTTATACAAATTATTGAGAAAAATTTGTCACTATAATCCAAGAACCACATGTCAATGCGATGCTCCATTTAAAAGTTCGGTTCTTTTTAATTTTTTAGCTGTCAATAAACTGAATAAAGTTCCGAGAACTATTTTCCATGAAAATCTCGGACAAACGTCACGAGGAGTTGCTAAGATATGCCCAAATACACCCAAATAAAACAAGTTCGGCGTTATCTGTTTTTTTTTTTTCATCGAAAACAATTTCTTCCCTAGCGCACCTAGGAAGGTAAATATGTGAAATTATTACTATAAGGTGATGTCGGTAATGACAATTCCATCCAGGCTCCTGAAAAACTTCAATAGTAAATTATAAAACCTAAGAGTCAACAGCAAGTAATTTTAAACATTTCAGTAGAATAAAATGGGTATAAAGTTTTATTATCTTGTTTTCCACTTTCAAAAATTATTTGGAAAATTACGAGTTTATTGCCAACACAATAATTTCTT